AAGCTTTTTTTTTGGTTGAGGAAATGTTTCTCTAAAGTCTCATTGTTAAAAACAATAAATAGATCTTATTGTTTGAAAAACACCCATTCATATGCCTTGATGATTTGACATCAGTTACAGAAATCTAAAGATAAAGTGCATATGCAGAGTAGCCATTTATGTTGAAAAGTGACAATATAATAAAGGATTTTCCCATATATAGTATTCTGATTTATATTCCTGCAGAAATTCAGGCTGTTGTGAATAATGGGTTTGATGGCAATGCAAGACATTCCAATCTGATAAACATCGGATGGTGCATCACAAGACTCACCCACTATTTCCTTTGTCTCTTTCACTGATTTTCTCACACTAGTATGTGTAAGGAATAGTATATATACATCATATAACCATTGTTCCAACAATGAGGAACAACTCAGTAATGTTAAGAAAGGCCATTATTCAGAAAGAGCTTGCATTTTAACAGCAATTTTATAACATTGAAACGCCTGAAAGATCTTTGCAGATACAGTAGTTAGGTTTGAGCTGAGTTTTTGTAGGCAAAGTTATTCAAGCGTATTAACAACACAAGGACCATTATTTTAATGATTAACAGAATTATAAGTTCATGTGAACTGCTTGTTTTAGCCATGAAGACCAGAAGAGTAATGTGAGGAATGACGTTCTTCATTTATCCAGCTATTCCTCATGGTTAGCCTTGAAGATAATGTGCTGAGAACAGATTAAAGCATAATATGCATTAATGGAATAAATTGATGTTCCTTTGCTCTGTCCCATGGAGTGTTTAGAACACAGGTTTTCTCCACACAGAACAATCTTTATCTTAATCACACTGCACTGGCACCAAACACTTACCGCAGAGGGGAAACAAATGTTCCTGTGTTACACTCCAGCTCAATAGCAGAGGCTTGGGAGCAGAAAACGATCTACTGATGCATAATGAGAAGAAAACAGAAAACCTACTCAACAAACAATTATTTTTAAAAGAACAAGTTAAAGTGAAAAAGCAACATTGAAGTGGCGTTGTCTTCATGAAAAATATATCTGGCAAAACTGGGACCTTGACTTTATTGTATGAAGACTGGAGCACTCACAACGAGTTTACAAACTAAATTCCATTATATGTACATAACCTTTACTTGACCAAACCAATTCTACTTCCCATATGATGTGAGATGATGCCTGCATGTCAATCATTCTTTCATCTATGTAGCAAATACACAAGGGCAAACCTTAGGCTAGTCTCCTTACTCCACACACACGCTTCTGTTTACCTAGCAATAAGTAGGAACACGGCTGTTGGTTGATTGGTGAATCGCTTTCCTGGGTAATAATCCCTTCCCACCCAAAAAAAATGTGGTCACTCAATCCATGATTGTTTGTGGGACACTGCTGTGTGCAATTGGCTTCCGCGTTTCACCCACAAATACACAGTCACTACACCTTACAGTATATTCTGTGAAGCGCTTTGAGATGGCTCAACGATGTGATAAGGCGCTGTATCAAATGAGAGGATTATAAACAGGGTGCTCATAGTCTACACAGGACTACCTTTAGCACTTACTTTAAGGATCACATCACTGCCATATATATAGAAATGATAGATAATTTTGATAATATCACTATACCCCCCAAAATTTCATGCATTCAGTGGCTTGTATTCAAAATAAAGGAAAGGAAAGTAACTGGATTAGCTTTCTGTGAACCAGTCACATCACACCAATAAGGATTATTGTGTTGTAACTGTGAGAAAATGCCATTATTTTGACAGTTTTAGAATAAATCCAATTCCTTTTCTTTTTAACAGGCAAAGTACAGCACGTTTCACTTACATGTCATGTGACAGACGTATATTTTGCTCATTGAGTGCATTTTAGCAAATTTCACCATCTATAATAGAGATGTAAGATAATGCCTATTTTTAATGTTGTGTCAATAGATGTAAAGAAATACACAAATAGCTGTTATTCAGAACTTTCCTTCATCGAGTAATTAATCAAAACTGCACACACCATCCATTCTGGGTGGCAGAGACATCAAAAGGTAAACAAACATTCTAAACCAATTGCAAATGTGTTGACAGTGTACTTCCAGGTTAAAATTAATTACAACAATTTTGTTTTTCAAACTCCAGGCATATTGGTATCTGATTAGATTGACATAGAAAAAAAGTTCACAATAGCTTACTTTAGCGTGTTGACAGCTTCCTTGAATTACATTGAATTCAATTGGGAACAAAATATATAGATAACAAAATACTGTGTAGGTATACAGTACAGGCACTGTGAAGCTAACATGCATTTGGACAAATCTAATGCACAATATCTGCTGGAATATAATAAAATCTTTATCTTTTCATTTACCACTGGAATATAAACCAATATTATCTCTGCTACTTTAGCAAGACCTAACCATCACTATATACAGTTCACGGCACATGTAATGAATCATATGGCAGCTCCAGAATACATATTGAAATCTACTCAGGCCAGACCAACCTGCACCTTTGTAGCACAAGATCAGTTTTCAGGATACTTCTTGACAAGCATATTAATTTTTCACAAGGTACTGGTACATTGCCTTGGTGTTCTTTAACTCTTTGTACATCACAAATGAAGTGTATCCACATTGTACCCACATGTTGTATCCACATGTAATAATTCTTATATTGTATGTTCTTGTTTCACATACATTTCCTTCAAATAACTCTTAAGACAGATTTTTTAAAATAAGGATTTAGCAGCTACATGGTTTTATCTCACTATGCCACTGCCCTCCCTCATCCCAACCCTGACCCCACTACCCCCCCATCAACACCCACCCCCGCCTCCGCTCCCACGCTTGAGTCCTGGTCCTCGACTTTCAGTGCCTTGGGACATCTTCCTGAAGTGAAAGGCGCTTTACAAATGTAATTTTGCTGTTATTGTTCTTGTATGTCAAATTATTCCCCTCAGACACTTAAAATGTTTTCCTCCTCTCTAACTAAAATTTAATAATATATAATAATAATAATAATCCTTGCATTTGATATAGCGCTTTTCACGTCGGGAGGATGTCCCAAAGCGCTTCACAGAACACACTGTAAAGTGAATTGACTGTATATTTGTGGGCGAACACGGCAGCCAATTGCGCACAGCAATGTCCCACAAACAGTCGTAGATTGAAAATGACCAATTTTTTAATTATTGTTTTTTTTGGAGGGATTAAAATTAAAATTTTAAGGTGAATTATCTCCTAATAGAAGCACAGCGTTGAAAGGGTTAATGCAGTAAACCCAGATTAAGATTCCAATCTTTTTGCGAAAGAATAAAACTGAGAAATTGAGGCTGCAAAAGCTTCCGTTTGGTGCAACATGGAGTGAAGATATTCTGTGAAGGTATTCGTTTGTGAAAATGTTTTGTACTGCAGAATTCCGTTCATCAAAGTTTTCAACTCACAATGTGCCGAACCACGAGAATTTCTGATCTGATAATTTTCAACAGTTCCGACAATCACTGTGTAATATTACGATTTTCACTTTCAATCTATCGTGTTAATACACAAATATTTTAGGGGGAAAGAAAAAAGCAAATATTTTTGGAGGGTCAGCCGAGGTGTCTGACACATGCGGAAACCCGTCACCATGCTTAAGAGTATCCAAACCAAGCTGAGATTTCCATACATCCCACCTACACATGGAAATCCCACAGATAGGTTGTTAGAATGGAAGGCACACTCTCTCCCTGGAAGGACACATCCTGCTTACCTAATTCTGGAAAGAATTATACATAGGTTGGCAAGAGCCAAGGCTTAGGGACCTCAAAGTGTGTGTTGGGGTGCTGCTGGAGTCTAACCAGCTAAAACCGCATAGCTTGCCTGTTGCTTGTCCAGCTAGGACCACCCCATCCATGAGGGCTTTGCCTTCCAAGGTTAACAGGAGAAAAGCAAATAAAGCATGGCTGAATGTCCAGCCAATAAAGCTGTTAATGAATTTTGTTTTATGTTTCAAATAGATTCTTACCACAGACTGTTAAATATGGGACTTCAAAAGAGAATATTGTCTGTCAAGCAGTCGCCAGTTAACTCATAATTTTAGGAAGAGCTAACAAAATAATCAGTGTTGAAAATCATTGTGCTTCTTAATAGCCTTGGTCGTCTCACTTGAACAGTTATACATACAGTACTTGCATCATTTATGGCTTCTCCTGTGAACTGGCTCTTTGATGAGGTAGTTTGTCCACAAAACCAATTCGGTTAGGTTCTCGTGTCCAGGCTAACATACTAAGAATGGCCAGTTCCTCAAGGTTAACAAGCATTATAGTTTTTTCTTTTGCAGGGTATGCATGCGAGGCTGTTATTTCTATTAATATTGCAGTTGTAAAGAACAATGTGGTAATATGAACCATACTGTTCTTCTTGGCAATTCACACTGAAATCTGATCATGGTTAATGTAATGAAAGAGGTATAATGATTACCTCGTTGAAGTCCATCAATGCAAGGTTTTATGTTGGAGTAGAGGACAAAGCTGATTAAAACACAGTGACTTATTTAGTTCTCTTCCCATCTTCCTATCAAGAGGGGGAATCTACATCTTGGGTTCCCCTGACATAACTATAAAGTTTTGTTCATCCATTTAAGAAATGATACGCTTGCACTTAAGAAATGTGTATGATATTCTGAGAATACACTGCATGATTTACAAGGCTCTGTTGCAGATTAATTGCAGCCTTACAAGATATTTTGACATAACATTGACTCTCAGGTAATGCATCACAACACAAGTGCCCTGTTAAATATCAACCCAAACGTATTTTACATTTTTATATCAAAAAAAAAGCAACTGCTCCATCAAACACATTCTGGGGTAGAGAGGTAAGATTGAAATTCCATGACAAGAAATAGATTTTTCCCTGAATAACAACGCGCAGAAGGGACCACTTCAGTCCCCCCCAGTGATCGATGAAACTGGACAACTGCAATCAAACAACAACCACAACCACAACAAAAAAGCATCACTGACCAAACGATGTCATTCGAAGGCGATGGAATGATTTCTGCACCACATTTGATTTCACCGATTTGCACCTCCGGCTCTGTCTCCGCGTGAAGCGACGACGCGTTCATTCCGGAGGTGAACGAACAGAAAAAAAAAAAGCACCAAAAACGTGCAAAAAAAAAAAAAAACCCCCACCATCGACAATAACGCTGTGCACGTAAAACACCAGTCTGAGGTACGCACGAATTATTGATGCTTCGATGGATATAAAATCGCTGGGGAGGGGGTGGGGGGAGGAGGGGGTGGGGATGGGGGGGGGGGGGGGGGGTGGGAGGTGGGGGTGTCAGTGATAGATGGATTCCTGCTTTCCCTGACGTTTGATTTTCAGAGACTCAGCGACTGGGGTGTTTTTTTTTTCCTCCCCTCTTCCAGTTTGGACCTCTGTGGTCATGGCTTCACCAGTTACTATCGCTGGTGGTCTCCCTCTACTATCAGACCCCACGCGTGGCTCTCACTGCCCGACCTGGACCAGCCAACTCCGTCCCAAATGCCATGGCCCAAAAGACGGACAGATGACAGTATAATAATGCAGCGTTTCCCCACAGGGATCTCAAACAGTAACAAAGCCATACCTCAGCGTACATCACACCCGGACTCACTGCCCCGGTACTGTGCTTCTCCTCCTCCTTCTGAATCGCTGGGCGTTTCTTTCTTTCTTTCTTTCTTTCTTTCTTTCTTTCTTTCTTTCTTTCTTTCTTTCTTTCTTTCTTTCTTTTTTTTTTTTTTTTTTTTTTTTTTTTTTTTTCTTTCTTTCTTTCTTTCTTTCTTTCTTTCTTTCTTTCTTTCTTTCTTTGTTGGCTATATATCTGTATATATGTGGCTAATGTATTGGATGTGCCCCCAATGGGGCTGTGATGTGCAGCCGGTTCTGCAGTCCAGAGGTTTGGATCTATTCAGCCTCCATTGCTGCTTGTGCTGAGGGAGAGCCAGAATCAGGCTCCCGAGTGATCCCACTCTCCATATATGGACCACAGATCAGTCCCCCCCCCACCCCCACCCCCCCTCTCTCCCCCCACCCCCCCACCCTGGTCTCTCCACGTGGGGAGTGACAGGACCCCGGGCTGGGAGTGAGGAGCGCAGGCTCTGTGCTCAACACACACTCACAGCAAACACTGTTAGAGCTGCCCCCCCAACCCCCCCCCTCAACCCCCCCAGACCTCTCAGCATGTAATAGGGCGCCTTCTCCCCATCTCCAATGCAGAGTATTAATAAGCAATAAGATGCTCGCAATAAGCAATGCATAGTTGACGTTTGCACTCGTTTGTGTTTCAGGAACTGGAAGCTATTGGAATAGGACACCACACCCCAACCACAGAAATACACGAGCGTCCAGTTTTGAATATTGCAGGATTTTATTCAGCGATTGGGTTATTTGCTGTTGATTAATAACATCCTGCAGTGTTATTTTTTTCACTCCCTGAAAGGAACATCCTGCAAACACCGCAGCTCCCCCCCCCCCCCCCCCCCCCCCCCCCCCCCCCCCCCCCCCCCCCCCCCCCACCGGCAAACACATCCATAACAATCCTTTCCTTTTTGCATTTGGGTACCACGCCTTTCCTGGGTTGTTTCGTAGCGTTTGGCGAGACTTAGTGTAAAGTGACTGTGACACCGGTGACTGTGCCTCGACAGGCAAATCTAACCATAACGTAGTGCCATTGCAATGCGCCTGATTTGTGATTGAATTTGGGAACGAAAGGTGTATTGGATGCAAACTTAGTTTTCGATGATGTGCTTGGGGGTTTGATCTCTATTGCTCTCTCTCTCCCCCTCCATCTCCGCGGGGAGTGGGGTCGGTGCTCACAATAAGTCCTCGTCTAAACAGCTGCACAGAAACAGCTGGAGCCTGAAATGTCAGGAGGGCTAACGTGCCTGCATCCCCTCGCCTCCATTCTCCCCTTTGTGCAGTGCTCAAAGTTGCTCCATCTAGTGATTTTATCGGCAGAGAATGACATCTTCCCCCAGTGGCAGTCCAGGCAAGCTTCCTGCAAATGTTAACCCACATACACATGAACAGGAATTGTGCACTTGCCATACACTCCGATTTTGGCTGTGCAATTCGAGCCTCCAAAGATGGTCAACTGCGTTATCGTTATCAAATGCAGAGAGTATTATTATCCTTTATGTCTAAAATATTTAGCTAACAGCAATGAATAGGTGGAAGGGCAGTATTTTTTAAAGTGTTGATAACGTACATCTTGAATTGTTGCTGTGTTTTGGGTTATTTTAATTGTTGACAATTTAAATAACCCAAATGTTTTATTCCCCAATTTATTATTGTTTCTTAGCTGGACACGAGATTTAACTGTGTGAGAGCACCATTTCTGAATGAAAGCCTCTCAGTTTTTTATACATATTGATAGGGGTAGTTAAAGGGAGTAATCTTGCCAACATCCTGCATGTGGTGGGAACGACTAGAATAATAAATACAAATCCTTGCATTTGATAGTTAGGACGTCTGAAAGCTCTTCACAGGATTTTACTGTAGCGTTCCTGACTCTGTATTTTGAAGGCCAAGCATGACAATTATGTTTGCACTTTATAAAAAATAAAATAATGATATGAGTGTTCATGGCTGTAAAATGCATGTTTCTTCCTAATGATAAATCTTAAGGCAAAAAAAAATCAAAAGGCTGAAAAGAATTATTGCAGTAGTTTTACAAAGCTCATCTTTTTCAATGTATTATACACCATTTATGCATTCCTGTCCCCTCACCACAGCCTGGCTGTAATTTACAAAGCAGGGAGAGATGCAATAGACACATTATCCTGTATTAGCCTGCTAAATATACAAATAATAATAGTGGACAGTCCAAGTCTTTGGTAACTAAAGGCCAATTTCCCCATTTCCCCATGGATCTATACAAGCAATGCTGGCAGAATGCTATTGTCAGATATACTGTTCTTTGGATGAGACATTAAACTGAGGCTACATCTGTCTGTTCAGGTGTACACTAAAAATCGCATAGCACTATCTGAAAAGTTAAGGGAGTTTTGACTGGTGTCCTGGCCAACAATCCTCAGATAATATTGGTCATTCACATCATGGGTGTGGTGAGATACTGCTGTGTGCAAAATTGGCTGCCGCATTCACTTAGAAATATACAGTTACTACACTCTGCACTAAATGCTGTGAAGTGCTTTGAGACGTTTTGTCAAATGCAAGGATTATGATTACTTGTACAATTAAACAGTCTGAAATCATAGGCTCAATGCTGTGATTGACTCTTACAGAATTTTAATGCCTTGATACACACATTTAAAACATTCCTTCGAGCATTTCATTACTTCATAAATACTCATCTGCATAAAAATTCTGCCCCTGCTGGTTTCATTTTCATTCTGAGAATCAATGTAGTATTAAAAATTATATATCGCTACATGTAATTAAATGTTTGAGAATATATCGTTAATTGTGAAAAGGTTTATACTGTATAATAAGTAATAAGTAATTGGAAGGCGCTATACAAATGTAATCTTGTTGTTGTTGTAGTGTTAAATTCAAACATTTATGTTTATCTATATAACTTTTTATCAATTGAATGTTTATTTTTCAAATAATGGGGCAACATTTGTGGTATTCTTTAACTTGTTTCTTAAATAAGAGCTGGTGGTAAATTGAAAAGAATATTCAAGAATAACCGAACGTTTACAACAACAACAACAACAAATTACATTTGTATAGCGCCTTTTATGTCAGGAGGATGTCCCAAGGGTTGGACAGTCAGGGATCTGTACCCGAGCTGGTAGCTGGGATCAGGAAGGGGTGGTGGGAGAGGAAGATAGGGGTAGGAGGGTGACCAAAGGCACGGTCAAAGAGGAGGATCTTGAGACAGATCTTGAAGGAGGTGAGCAAGAGAGGGTGAGAGGCTGAAGACCTGCCCACCAATGATGGGGCGGGCAAGACAGGGGACGTGTAGCCCGCTGAATGGAGGGAGCGGGCAGGTTGGTAGGGGGTTAGGAGGTCACAGAGGTAATGAGCAGTGAGGCCGTGGAGGGCTTTGAAGGTGAGGACCAGGATCTTGAATTGTATCCTCTGTGTGATAGGGAGCTAGTGAGATCAGGTGAGGATGAGGGTGATAGGGTCGCAGAGCCTGGTGCTGGGAGAGGACATGGATTTACCGCATTGTATCAAGAGGTTCAATATCTTACACATATTTTACATACTATAATAGACTATTATAGTGTTATGGATTATATAGTTTTGATATATTTGTAATTTTTCTGTATATATTTCCTTCTGATACAGGACAAAGGAAAGAGTCTGATGGTTCTGTCCTTGATCCTCTCCTCTTCGTCCTTGGTGACATCATCTGCAGACATGGGGTCAACTTCCACATGTATGCAGATGATACCCAACTCTATCACTCTGCCTCCACCCTCGACTCCAGGACCACTGCTGTCCTAACAGAATGTCTATCAGACATCAAGGCCTGGATGAGAGCTAACTTTCGACAGTTGAATGTCAACTGTAGAATTGGGCATTGAAGAATAAATACGGGTGATGACAAAGATGTGGGTGTGGATTTTGACTGGGTTGGGGGTGAAGTAGGGACACGGACATGCAGTGTTGCAGAAATGGAAGATAGGACTGTATAAAAAGCTTAAAGAAAAGCTGAGGGTCGAACAGAATGCTGAGACTGCACACTGAGTCCTTAAGCTGGCTGGAGCGAGCAGCCGAGAAGGTTAATGCTTTTGGAGTCAGGGGTGAACGTAGTGTTGTTGAACTTGGACTTACAGATTAATGAGTTCATACTGCGAGCAAAGAATGAGGAGACTGGAAATAGAAACAATGAGTCCCAGGTAGCCTGAGTGAGTTGAAAGGCTGTGACCTAATCTTGTGATACAAATGATATAAAATCTATGAAAGCTCACCTGAATTCTAAAAAATCAATTATAACCTTGAGCTCACTAGATCTTGAGATTGTAATACACAAACCATTTTGTTGGCTCGTCTGATTTAGCTGCAGATTCTCTAGTCATCAGTGCTGCCGATGACAAAGCTAGACAGTGGGCGCCAGCTTTGGAATTGCAATTATATTTAGGAAAGAAGATTAATGCTTTATCATGCCAATTAATAATACTTAATGAGTTTCACTGCATGTAAATTTACAAGGGTTTT